CAGTTTTCCCATTGCTTCCGGCCCTGAAGGGTTTTAGCTTCAAGAGATAAGAGCAAGCGGGTATCTTTTGGCCTAAAATGGTGAGAAATTGGTTAGAAAGTATTGACCCATAGTTTGTGTTTCGTCATAGATGAAAATAGATAGATTTTCCTTTGAAATACCCCCTTGGCTTAACTTCCTGAGTAGACACCTACTCTCCTAGGCACTTCAGGTTTTCAAATGTTTCTAGTCCTCATGAGCATGAAAAGTCAGCTTCCAGAAGAACGGAGTTGGAAGGGACCTTAGAGGTCTTTTAGTCCAACCTCTTGCTCAAGCAGGAGACCCTATGCCATTTCAGACAAATGGTGATCCAGTCTCTTCTTTAAAATCTCCAGTGATGGAGAGTGCCCACAGCTTCTGGAGGCAAGTCATTCTACTGATCAATTAGTCTGTCAGGAAATTTCTCTTTAGTTGCTAGGTTGCTTCTCTCTTTGATTAGTTTCCATCTGTTGCTTCTTGTCCTGCCTTTGGGTGCTTTGGAGAATAGGTTGACATCTCCCTTTTTCTCTGTGGTATCCCCTTAGATATTGGAAGAGCGCTATCATGTCTCCTCTTGACCTTCTTTTCATTCTTCCAGTCATTAGCTGAAATCTCTGAAGCCAGAGAGGAAATTAGCAGGATTTCCATAATTCCTGGTGAGGTCATTGAAAAGGTCCCGTCTGACATTTTGGTCTGAAGTTTAAGTAGGAAGGACATCTTCAACCGAAGATTTAGGACTTATGTGGAATTCAGAAGTAGTCCGTGACAGGTGTTTAATGTAGCAAAGGTAGAAAGAGAACCTTGATGGTGCACTAAACTATGAGTATTCCTTGTCTAGAATATAGGTCCCTTTTCTAACTCCCAACTAGAGATAGTCCTCGTTTAGCTACCCCAATTGGGACTGGCCGCTTGGTCATTCAATGAAGCAGCCACTAAGAACAACTACAACCATGTTTATGATCTTCCATCAGGTTTCCTTTTACTTTGAAGATCCTAAAGGTGAGAATTCAAACTTTCTTTTTCATCACCGTTGTAAATGAATGGTCACTAAACAAGGCAGTTGCTAAATAAAGACTGCTTGTAGGCTAAATAGATCAAAGGGAGCTTCTATGTAGTTGTGTCTTCCAGTTGTCAATCATGCATCCACGATCGTGCTGAATCTGGCAATTTCCTAAGCCTGTGCAAAGTCTTCCCGAAAAGGAGCTTAGTAGAAGATATTAGGAAAACTAAATTGCTCTCCTTGAAACCATATTTCTTGGAAGGCTGACACAGCCACTTGGAAGGCTGTGCTTTGGTACCAGACTCAGCAATCAGTCTCACCTCTCCAGAAACTTAAGCCTGGATTCAGGACTTTGCAGAAGCTCACGAGCGGAGCATGGCTCAGGACCATAAGCTGCTTTCTCGCCAGCAAGAATGAAGCCACGCATGAACAGGGAGGACAATTAACCAGCTTGCCTTCAGATGTTGTGGGTGGCTTTCAAGAAGAGACTAGAAAGCCACTTGTCCACAATGGTATAAGGCTGTGGCGGCGAACCTATGGAACAGGTGCCACAGGTGGCACGCAGAGCCCTTTCTGTGGGCACGCGAGCCATCACCCCAGTCCTAGGCCTTCAGCTGGGTTTTATAAAACCTTTTCGCTTTAGGCCTCTGCTGCTGCAAAAAAAAAAAGTTTCAATCAATTTCAACTTCTCACGAAAAAAAAAAGATCAAAGTTGGAATTGATTGATTGAACTTTTTAGTCCCACCCAGTCTGCCGTTACCACCGCAGCCATGCCCACCCAATGGGCCACACCCACCCAGCACCCCCCCCCCCCCGATGATACATAAGTGGGTTTTGGGTTGCAGTTTGGGCACTCGGCCTCTGAAAGTTTCACCATCACTGGTATAGGGTCTTTGCTTGAGCCAGGGGTTGGACTAGAAGACCTCCAAGGTCCCTTCCAACTCTGTCATTCTGTTCTCTTATTCTGCTGAATTCTGAGTTGACCGTGCACATATTCTTAAGACTTGCCAAGGTCGAGAAACACTGCTCCAGATGTTCCATCTTTGCTGGTTGCCTGAAGGCTCTCCAGAAAAATGTACGCCCATGTGCACATGAAAGGAGGTTGACCCTAAATTTGGAATGACTTTCCTCCCCACTAAGAAAACACAGCACCCTCCCCTTTCCATTGCTATATACTCCACAGCTTAAAAAGCTGGCCAACGCTTTCTAATTATCCCAGTTATCTGAGGAGAAAATCTAATCCCCCTCTCTTCAGCTAAATGCTGGAGTTTTACTGTCTTCCAATCCAAGATTGATGTTTTCAAGACCCTGCCTATCCTTTCCCCCCTATTTTCCTGCTTTCCTGCCCCAGTTTTGCTCCAGCAGTGGGGCGGCTGTTCTGGTGCCTTGCCTGAGCCCCCTTCCTGGGGGTGCTGCATTGACCAATGGCAGACCAGGGACTGGAAAGGCAGGAAGACATCCCAGCTGTGGTTCCTTTGACCCTTGAACATCTGGCTGCACACATCTGGTTTTGATCATGCCTGGGAAGCTCTTCTCCCCCTCTCTTGCCAAGAGGTTTTGACTTTCTTGAACTTGAAAGGGGGGTGTGCATGTGTGTTTGGGGAGAGAGAGGGAGGGAGAAGACCAGAAATGTTTTGGATAGGGAGGAAAAAAGACCCTGCAGACCAGATTAGCTCTCTTTGGAGAGATGTGAGATAAACAAGCAAGAAGCAAAATGAAGCTCTGAAGGGTTTGGGTTATTTAAGAAGACTGTTCCATCTCACGGAGTCTTAGATAATGACAGCTTTGAGCAGAAGCTGTATTTCCCATCTTCCCCCCCCCCAAACACAGGCAGTACATTCACCCAATGAGAGATAAAATGAATAATTTGGGATGTGTGAGAGGTCTCTGGGGAACCTCAGTGTCCCACCTCAGGTTGACCAATGGAGATCAAGTTCTGACCGTGGGCTTATTCCAGTGCGTGGTAATGTTGGGTCCCAAGGAAATAACAAGTATTAATAACAGAAGTGTAATAATGTGTTGCGTACCTGGCACCACTGCTTTGGGAGCTGCATTGGTTGCCAGGGTGTTTCCAGGTGTAATTCAAGGTGCTGGTTGGTGGATAGATTAGATTAGATTAGATTAGATTAGATTAGATTAGATTAGATTAGATTGCATTACATTACATTACATTACATGGGTGGGTGGGTGGGTGGATGGATGGATGGATGGATGGATGGATGGATGGATGGATGGATGGATGGAAGGATAAGATGATGGGTGGGTGGGTAGATGGAGAGAGGGATGTATGGATGAATAAGATGATGGGTGGGTGGGTAGATGGAGAGAGGGATGGATGGATGAATAAAATGATGTATGTATGTATGTATGTATGTATGTATGGATGGATGGATGGATGGATAAATAAAATGATGGATGGGTGGGTGGATGGGTGGAGAGATGGAGAGAGGGATGTATGGATGAATAAGATGATGAGTGGGTGGAGAGATGGAGAGAGGGATGGATGGATGAATAAGATGATGAGTGGGTGGAGAGATGGAGAGAGGGATGGATGGATGAATAAGATGATGATGGATGGATGGATGGATGGATGGATGGATGGATGGATGGATGGAGAGAGGGAGAGAGAGGGAGACAGGGAGAGGAGAAAGGAGAAACACATATCAGCCAAGGATGTCAGGCAGCCCATCCCTTTAATGAATTTCTGTAATGTGCAGCTATCCATATACATGAGCAGAAGTCAACATGTAAGAGGATTTTAGATTTTCATTCATTTTTGATTGGTGTATTTCTGTTTCCTTTACTCTATTTTTGAGTCCCTCTTACTACACTCTAAATTTCATGCCCCTGTGCAGCCCACACACTTAAAAAAAACAAACTTTGCAAAGGTTCTCCTTTATCTCTTTGCTTCTGCAAGAGAACGTGCTCTCCCTTCTACTCAAACCTAATTGGGAGGCCTCCAGCGACTACATCTTGACCACCTGAGGCCAAAGGTGAGAAGGTCCCATGTCCTGGAGGAGAAAGCTCTGAGAAATGCAAGATGGAGCCAGTGTTTTATTACAAGTTCTCCTGTTTTAGCCTGCCATGGCCAACAGTTTTGCTGTCAGTCAGAAGGAGACAGTGGCTTTGATGAGGATCTTCTCTTCCTGACAGTTGTGTGTCTAGCAGACCCCAGTGGGCCATCGGTATTCGAGGATGGAAAAATGGCAACTTTGGTGTTCAGAGAAGGAGCTCCAGGCTTCTTACGGGCTTGTTTCATTTAAAGAGCAGATCTTCTTATTTTGACTTGGCTTATTCTATAGTTCTTCTGCCTGAAGATGTCTTAGGGCAGGGGTCTTCAAACTTGACCCTTTTATGACTTGTGGGTTTCAGCTCCCAGAATTCCTCAGCCAGGCACGCGTCCACAAGTCATAAAAGGGCCAAGTTTGAAGACCCCTATCCTAGGTTTAGGGTTAGGGTCCACCAAAGTCCAATCAAGCGATCTCCTTTAAAGCAGTTGAATAAAACCAGTTTATGTATTAATGAAGCCAATAATTGCATGCCTTTCAGCAAATTACAGGCGTGTGTGTGTGTGTGTGTGTGTGTGTCTGCGAGCACGTGGGATAATCTAGCATTCTGACACAAGTCAACATTTCATGTCTGTACTTTCTTTGTTTTTTCCTTGAAGACATTTCCCTTCTCATCCAAGAAGCTTCATCTAACCAGGCATCATACTTTTTTGAGCCCTGGTGTCCAACCCAGATTTGATCTTGCAAAAAAAGTCCAATTGCTTTTTTTTGGGGGGGGGGGGAAGCACCTTTGAGAAAATCATGATCTGGATGACTGAGAATCTCCATAGACACCCAACGTTTTGTAGTTTCCTAAGCCATCATTGCTCCTATGTTTAAGACAGTGCAGGGGCATATTAAGAGTTTTTTTTAAAACCCGCTATTTAACAGAGTTTGGGATGTTTTACACCGCCACTTCCTTTTTCTTCCTGCAGGACAAAGTGGCCTTGGGAAGTCCACCATGGTCAACACCCTCTTTAAATCCAAGATCAGTCGGAAATCAGCCTATTCCGGATACGAGGAACGTATTCCCAAAACCGTGCAGCTACTCTCTATCACCCATAGTAAGTAATGTGAAAAAGCTGGCTTCTTGCTTCTGTTTTGGAGGGAAAGTATCTTTGCCTCTCCCTTTTGGCCATATTCATTTCCAGTAGATGCATCACACGTCTCGAAAAACCACCAGGGATTTTATATGTTGTTCTTCGTTCATCTCACTTCACGGTCACAAAGGAATATTATTGTGTTTTTCCTTTTGTGTTCTGGCTATAGAGACAGACATTTCATTCTTCCAGTCTTTAGTTCCTGTCTTAAACTAGAATTACAAATTATATGACAAGTTTCAGGGCAGAACAGAATTGTGTTTCTAGGGAAGTTGCTCGCTAGAGAACTGTTTGGCTGGATTTTGAAACTATGCTAGAGAAGTTTTAAAATAAGAGTTAGGAAATCTTGGGTTGATCTCCTAGATCCAGTGATTTGGTTAATTCAATAAGAAATTGAATACAGTAAAATATCCAGGAAAAAAAAGTGATCTCTTTTATAGACAGCTGTTGCCATCAGATCCGTATGACACAGTCTCCTTGAGCGCAGCTAAATTCTGCTATACCGTTGGTATAGTCAGGCAGGTTTTGTTGCCCATCGATGACCTCACCGCTAACTGTAATATAATATTACGTCTCATTCTGCTTTGCTTGATTTTAATGTCTTAATTTTTTTTTTCATTCTGGCCTGTGACCATAATAAAACATTGATTGATTTAGCAAGAACAATTCCAGGCTTGCTTTGATCTATAACCATTTTGGCCCTGTGGACAAAGCTTCCTTTTTTTAAAAAATGGAAACAATATTATTTTCTGTCTCATATCTTGGAGAACAAGACAGACAGAAAGAGAGAGGGGGAGAGAGGGGGGGGAGAAGGAAAGAGAGAGAGAGGGAGAGGGGGAGAGAGAGAGGAAGAGGGAAAGAGAGGGGGAAAGAGAGAGGGGGAGAGAGAGAGAGAGAGGGAAAGAAAGAGGTGGAGAGAGGAGAGAGAGAGGGAGAGAGGCGAGGGAGATGGGGAGAGAGGAGAGGAGGGGGAGAGAGAGGGGGGAAAAAGAGAAGGGGGGACGAGAGAGAGGGAAAGAAAGAGGTGAGAGAGGAGGAGCGAGGAGAGGGAGGGGGGCGAGAGAGGCGAGGGGGGAGAGAGAGGGGAAAGATGCGGATGAGGGGGGAGAGAGGGAGAGGGGGAGAGGAGGGAGAGAGATGAGGGAGAGGGAAAGAGAGAGGGGGAAGAGAGAGAGGGGGGAGAAAGAGGGAGAGGGAAAGAAAGAAGGGAGATAGGAGAGATAGAGGGAGAGAGGGAGTGGGAGAGGGGAGAGAGAGGGAGAGGGGAGAGAGAGGGGGAGAGAGAGGGGGTGGAGAGAGAGGGGGAGAGAGAGGGAGAGGAAGAAAGGAAGTGGAGAGAGAGAGGGAAGGGAGGGGAGAGGGAGAGGGGGAGAGAGAGGGAGAGGGGGAGAGAGAGGGGGAAAGAGAGAGGGGGAGAGAGGGAGAGGGGGAGAGAGAGGGGGAGAGAGAGAGGGAGAGGGAAAGAGAGAGGGGGAAAGAGAGAGGGGGAGAGAGAGGGAGAGGGAAAGAAAGAAGTGGAGAGAGGAGAGAGAGAGGGAGAGAGGGAGAGGGAGAGGGGGAGAGAGGGAGAGGGGGGGAGAGAAGAGGGGGAGAGGGGGGGGGGGGGGAAGGAAGGGGGGGGAAGGGGAAGGGGGGAGAGGAGGGCTCTTTGCAAAGAAAGAAGTGGAGAGAGAGGGAGAGAGGGAGAGGGAGAGGGGGAGGGAGGGAGAGGGGGACGCAGAGAGGGGGGAGGGGGAGAGGATAGGGGAGAGAGAGGAGAGGGAAAGAAAGAAGTGGAAGAGCGAGAGGGAGAGAGGGCAGAGGGAGAGGGGGAGAGAGAGGAGGAGAGGGGAGAGGATGAGATAGGGAGAGGGGAGAGAGCAGGGGGGGAGAGAGAGGAAAGAGAGAGGGAGAAGGAGAAGAAAGAGAAAGAGAGAGGGAGGGAGAGGAAAGAGAGAGGGGGAAAGAGAGAGAGGGAGAGGAAGGAGAGAGAGAAAGAGGGAGGGGAAAGAGAGAAAGAGAAAGAGAGGGAGGGAAAGAGAGAGGTTGGGAGGGAGAGGAAAGAGGGAGAGGGAGAAGAAAGAGAGAAAGAGAGAGGGAGGGAGAGGAAAGAGAGGGGGAAAGAGAGAGGGAGAGGAAGGAGAGAGAGAGAAAGGGAGGGGAAAGAGAGAGGGAGGAGAGGGAGAAGGGGGAGAGAGAGGGAGAGAGAGGGGAGAGAGAGTGAGGGAGGAAGAGAGAAATAGAGAGAGGGAGAGAGAGAGAAAGAGGGGAGAGAGACGGAAGGAGGGTGGAAGAGAGGGAGAGAGAGGGAGGAGAGGGAGAAGGGGGAGAGGGAGGGAGAGATGAGGGATGAGGGGGAAGAGAGAGGGGCGAGAGGGGGGGAGAGAGAGAGGGGGGAGAGAGAGGGAGAGGGAAAGAAAGAAGTGGAGAGAGAGAGGGAGAGAGGGAGAGGGAGAGGGGGAGAGAGAGGGGGGAGAGAGAGGGAGAGGGAAAGAAAGAAGTGGAGAGAGAGAGGGAGAGAGGGAGAGGGAGAGGGGGAGAGAGAGGGGAGAGAGGGAGAGAGAGAGGGAGAGGGGGAGAGAGGGGGGAGAGGGAAAGAAAGAAGTGGAGAGAGGAGAGAGAGGGAGAGGGAGAGGGGGAGAGAAAGGGGGAGAGGGGGAGAAAGAGGAGGGAGAGAGAGGGAGAGGGAAAGAGAGAGGGGGAAAGAGAGAGGGGAGAGAGGGAGAGAGAGAGGGAGAGGGGGAGAGAGGGGGGAGAGAGAGGGAGAGGGAAAGAAAGAAGTGGAGAGAGGAGAGAGAGAGGGAGAGGGAGAGGGAGAGGGGGAGAGAAAGGGGGAGAGGGGGAGAAAGAGGAGGGAGAGAGAGGGAGAGGGAAAGAGAGAGGGGGAAAGAGAGAGGGGGAGAGGGGAGAGAGAGAGAGGGAGAGGGAAAGAGAGAGAGGGAGGGAGAGGGAGGGAGAGGGAGGAGATCAGGAAGGTAGCATTCTTCCATTCTTGAAGGGCTGTCACAAAGAAGGAGGGGATCCAACCTATTTTCCAAAGCACCTGAAGGCAGGACGAGAAGCAACGGATGGAAACTAATCAAGGAGAGAAGCAACCTAGAATTAAGGAGAAATGTTTTGACAGTGAAAACAATTAACCAGTGGAATGGCTTACCTCCAGAAGCTCACTGGAGGTTTTCAAGAAGAGACTGGACAGCCATTTGTCCAGGACAGTTTGGATCTCCTGCGATGGGCAGGGGCTTGGTCTAGAAGACCTCAAAGATCCCTTCCCAGCCTACAATTCTATGTTCTAAAAGCAGTAGTAGGAACCTCGTGTGATTCCTAACTGGGAAACTTTTCTACAGGACTGGAGGGAATCGCCAACAGTTTTGCAAGAAGGGAGGGATAGCTCTCCTTTCGAAAAATAGCTGGGCTGCTGACTGCCCAGGAGAGAGATTGTGGGGTGGGAGCCATCTCAGGAGGGGGCAAACCGGAAGGGGACACGAAGGCTTCCAAGTGAAGCTGGCTTACTGGGTCGATGAACAAGGAGCCCCCCCCCTTTATTGTGCTATCTAAACTAGACTATTCTTCCTCCACATCCTTCAAGTCCCCCCCCCCTCCTCCCACTCCCCAGTTACCCACCAGGGTTTGAAAGGAGCTGGGCCTGCTCATTTCAGCTCTTGGAAACAAAAGGGGTCTTGTGCCAGACTCCCACTGACCCATTAGAGCGTCGCCATGGCGACCCTCCCGGGAAGCTCATGCTGCTTTTCGGAGGGGGAAAATGCTGTCATTCTTCCACAAGGGAGAGCCCACCACGGGCCTCAGAGTTTGAGATCAGAGACCCCCCCCCCCACACCCACTCTCCAGAAGGGGCCAGGCTGGGGAGGAGACGAGGAAAGAGATTCCCCCCCCCAAAGGCGGTACTCATATCCTACCCAAGGTTGAAGGGTCTTTTCAGCATCCAGGGGAAGATGCTAAGGGGATAAGCTCTGCCTAGTTGCCCACGGAGTAGGGGAGGATCCTTCATGCTTTACCTCAGGCAACCAGACACCTTTGAGGACCTTGGGGTGCCCCATTTCAGCAGGTTTTCCGTAGCCTTTCAGCCTCAGCCAGAGCAAGAGAGGGTCTTTGTCCCCACCTGCCCCCCAATTCTAAATCCCGTCAGGATTCCCTGCACCTGGCATTGATCTGAAAGTTTCAAGGAGTTGCTAATCCACTCCTCGTCCTGACCAACAGAATGATTTGTCCATCTGTCCATCTATCTGTTGATCTATCAATCAATTTATAGAGCTGCCTATCATATCTAAGGATCTGTCTTATCATCTTATCTGCCTATCTATCTATCTATCTATCTATCTATCTATCTATCTATCTATCTATCTATCTATCTACCTACCTACCTACCTACCTACCTACCTACCTATCTTTTTCTTTCTTTTTTCTCTTTCTTTCTTTCTTTCTTTCTTTCTTTCTTTCTTTCTTTCTTTCTATATCTTCTTCTTTCTTTTTCTTTCTCTCTCTTTCTTTCTGTCTTTCTCTTTCTTTCTTTCTTTCTTTCTATTTCTTTCCTTCCTTCCTTTCTTCCTTCCATCCATTGCACAAGAAGGAATTCAGGGTAGCGTACAACAATCAAATAAAAACCACACTTATAAATATGCAATCCTTATAAAAATATGAAGCAATCATTGTTTAGAACTTAAAATATATTACCAAGTAAACTATACAAACCACAGTCATGGAGAGAAGGGATATTTATGAATAAAGGAGCCATTTTAAGGTGTCATTGGTTCCCCAACTCTGGATGACCAACGCAGGTCTTGAGGGACTTCTAGAACATCAACAGAGATGGAGCTTACTTTTAGGATGGTGGGAGAATGTCTCCCCTCCCCCGGCCTGCAGTTCAATAGTAGGAAGGAAGCAGGTGAGTCTCAGTCTGGATTTGAAAACATGACCTAACTGCATGTCCTCTTCTTCTGACAGTTGTTGAAGAAAAAGGAGTGAAGATGAAGCTGACGGTCACGGACACCCCGGGATTTGGGGACCAGATTAACAATCAAAACTGGTAAGAAGGTGATGGATCCCTAGCATCTCACATGGAAGATTGGCATTGATTTCCTTTATTCAATATTCATTCATTCATTCATTGAACTTATATGTCCTTTTTTAAAAGACCACCCTCCTTTAAGAGTGGCTTAATTAGGGAGGGGGCACTTTACTGCCCAAGAGGAGGAGAAGCTTTTAAATGGATCTAATACACTCAACCACCAAAGCTGAAGTGGCCTTGCTGCATGCAAGGTTATCGGAGGGTGGGGTCAAAGAAAAGTCAAGATGGCAGCGCCAATAGGGCCGATAAATCCTGTGCAAAAGGGGCCAAGGTTTAAGGACTCTGTCGCAGTCACGCTCTCCATTTTTATTATCATCTCCTGTGCACATATCTGGCTACATACGTTCGGCATGGGATGCTCTATAGGTAGTCCTTGACTTAACAATGATTCATTTAGGGACTGTGCAAAGTTACAACAGCACTTTAAAAAAGTGACTTACGACTAGTGCTCACCCTTACAACCATCACAGCATTTCTAAGGGTGACGTGATCAAAATTTTGGTGCTTGGACTGCCACATCCCAATTTATATAATCCCCATTTGTGACTTTCCCAGCCAGCTTCCAACAAGCAAGGTAACTAACATGGACTGCCACATTCCAATTTATATAATCCCCATTTGTGACTTTCCCAGCCAGCTTCCAACAAGCAAGGTAACTAACATGGACTGCCACATTCCAATTTATATAATCCCCATTTGTGACTTTCCCAGCCAGCTTCCAACAAGGTAACTAACATGGACTGCCGCATCCCGATTTATATAGGTAATCCCCATTTGTGACTTTCCCAGCCAGTTTCCAACAAGCAAGGTAACTAACATGGACTGCCACATCCCAATTTATATAATCCCCATTTGTGACTTTCCAGCCAGCTTCCAACAAGGTAACTAACATGGACTGCTGCATCCTGATTTATATAATCCCCATTTGTGACTTTCCCAGCCAGCTTCCAACAAGCAAGGTAACTAACATGGACTGCTGCATCCCAGTTTATATAATCCCCATTTGTGACTTTCCAGCCAGCTTCCAACAAGGAAACTAACATGGACTGCTGCATCCCGATTTATATAATCCCCATTTGTGACTTTCCCAGCCAGCTTCCAACAAGCAAGGTAACTAACATGGACTGCTGCATCCCAGTTTATATAATCCCCATTTGTGACTTTCCAGCCAGCTTCCAACAAGCAAGATCAATGTGGGAAACTGGATTCTCTTGATGACTGCATGATTTACTCAGCAAGGGCAAGGATTCATTGTACAGCCGTGGCTAAAAGAGTTGTGAAATTGTTTACAACTCACTCAACCAACTCCCTTCTGTCCCCCAATTGGGGTCGTTAAGCGAGGATTGCTTCGAGAGAGTACGCTTCTGTTAACAAATCTGGATGTAACATAGGCTTGTGGCGAAGGCATAACACTTGATGAATTAAAAGGGTGTAATTGCAGGATATTTGACATTTAGGAAAACTTCTAGATGACAACAATCAAGGTGGGCAGACAACCTCACCAAGAAAGGGCAAAGTATGTCCATTGCATCTTATTGTGTGGATGATGTAAGTTCGTACGACATCATTTGCCTCGTTTCCATTACAGCTATGATGTAGTTTTCAATTTGCCAGACTTTGAGGGGCAACAGACACCCCATTCTTCTAGTTAATCCATTTAAAAAGTGGTTTCACTGAAGTAAGAACAGCTTGATGTTCTTTGAATGAAGGTACCGTAATTTCTGGTATATAAGACGACTCGGCGTATAAGACGACACCCGACTTTGCATGCTTTAGAAAGTCGTCTTATACGCCGGAAAATACAGTACTTTCTCAAAGAAGTTTATCCTTTGTTTGTTTGTTTCTTTTTTTGAGCAATAAGTGACAGGGTTCGCTCACAACGGTCCAGGAAGCTGAATCTCTGCTTCTTCCTTTCTTGTAGCTGGGAGCCGATCATTCAGTATATCAATGACCAGTATGAGCGTTATTTGAAAGAGGAGGTCCTGATTAATCGCAAGCAGAAAATCCCAGACACCCGTGTACACGCCTGTGTGTATTTTGTCCCCCCCACGGGTCACTGGTAAGTCCTCCTTTGCGGTGAGAGTCCAGCCCCACTCACTAAAAGCAAAAAGATGGTCACAGAAAGCTAGGCCAGCTCTATTCAGAACAAAGCATTGAGAAGACTGCTGATCTTGAAGATCTGCTTTCATTGTCCACTCCTCCGATACTCTGAATCTGGTTTTAGCTTGGCTGTCGAAATGAAAACCCAGGATTTGCAGGAAACTCTTAAAGGAACAGTGCAACTATCTTCTTTAGCCAGCAGACCATAAACAAGACAAATAGACGTAGCATCTTTTCTAGATGGTCTTTAGATTACAGTTCCCATCACAGGTTGGGGAGAAGGCTTTCCTGCATCCAAAGCAAACCCGTGACAGGTGGATCTTTGAAATCCACCACCATATGTGTTTGAGCAGTTGGGTAGACAACTTCTCCAGGGAAGGGAAAACCTCCAACAACAATAGGCTTCAAGGTGATGACCACTCGGTTCATATCCCAGAGATGGGTCTTCTTGCATGTCTTTTCCCCTCAGGCTCCGCCCCTTGGACCTGGAGTTCATGAGACGTCTCAGTAAGATCACCAATGTGGTGCCCGTCATCGCCAAAGCGGACACCTTGACCCTGGAGGAAAGGGCAGAGTTTAAACAGAGGGTAAGAGAACTACTACCTGTGTGAGGAGAAACCCAGAAGGTTCCTAATGACAGAATGGTGGGTTGACCTCGGTGGGATTCAAATAGGTGAACAACCAGTTCTCTGTGTGGATGCCGATCCGGAAGTCCATTCTGGGCCTGGACAACAAAAAATTAGCTACCGGTTCTGCCAAACTGGTGCGAATTGGCTGAATCCCACCACTGGTTGACCTAGAGAAAGGGGAGAAGGAAAGGAATGTTCTCCTCCTGGTCATGATTATGACTACCATTTTTTTTTTATTTTGGCAGATCCAGAAAGACCTGAAGGCCCACGGAATCCATGTTTACCCTCAAGTTGACTTTGACGATGACCCGGATGATCGGCTTTTGAACGATAAAATCCGGGTACGTCCATGGTGGTCAACAGGATGGAGAGAACAGTATGGAGGATTCCTGGCTGAGTTTGGGGTTCAGCAAAAGCTACATGCTATTTTTCAGGAACATTTTTTAACAGCATTACCTTCCTTTCTTCCTCCACATCCTTGCTAGGTTTTAAATGTCGATCTTGGCTAGACAACACGGGAATTACAAGATACCTAGTCGTGAGGTCTACTAACAAAGTTGGATTGTGAAATGTGCTTCTGTTGGCATTTTTTTTTTAAAGTAATCAGCTTGTAATTCTCTGTTGGATTGAAACGTGATCAGCTTCTGAAGGTGTGTTTCAGTTTAGGTGAAGTTCTGGATGCTCTGAGTCTCTCAGATCTGTGATCCATGTGAATACATATTAGACTCTGCTGACTTTTTTCTGTGTGACCTCACGGGATTCCTCACCACCTTCTGCTTCTCTTAATCTAGGAGAAAATCCCCTTTGCAGTGGTAGGTGCTGACAAGGAACACCAGGTGAATGGAAAGAAGGTCCTGGGTCGTAAGACCAAGTGGGGGACCATTGAAGGTAAGGCTTCTTGGAGGAAGAGCTGGCCTGCAGAGGTCCATCTGAGAAAAGTCCAAACAAGGAAGTCTCTAGAGTGAATCTGCTCCCTTTGTTCTGCACGCCTGAGTGTAGGAGAAGGAGTGGCAGAATCTGTGGGTGGAGTTAAAAAGGGGGTCAGCCTAGAATCCTTATGTAGCCACAAACAAATGTTTAATACCAGGCATGAAAAATCAGGTCCTCACGAGAAAGTCCAATTAAATTGATTATTGCTAATCATGCTTATGCACAGGAATCTTCTCAACTAACAGTCAACACTGCTAGGAATTACATAAGGATCAAAGGGATTCTACTCGTGGCTACATAATGATTCTAGGCTGATCCCTCTTTTAACTCTGCCCCCAGATTCTGCCATGCTTTCTCCTTACATAGCAGCTTTTGCTTTACTCTACTTCACCTGCTTTGTGTCCCATACTGGTAGCTGCTCATTTACACCCTTGGCTAGGAGAGAGATGCTATTCCCACCAGGACAAAGTTAACAGAACAATGATCCGGGTCCATGTAACTGCCAAAATGTCTAAGCTTTTCCTGAAATTTGAAATGGAAGGAGAAGCACCTAAGAAGCACCTAAGACAAAATGGGCTAAGAACTTTGGCTATAATATACAGAAGGATCAGTGGGGAAATGTGTGGTTAAAAGGACTGAAATCCACACTACGTTTTAATATAAAAAGTAATTTTTTAAAAAATGAAGTACTGTACCACTGGCCTATGACACCAGATAAACTTTCTTGAATGTCTGAAGGTACAGCTATTCCTTCACTTATAACTATTCATTTAGTGACCATTCAAAGTTACAAGAGCCCTGAAAAACATGACTCATGATCATTTTTCACACAACCACTGCAGCATCCCTGTGATTACATGATCAAAATTCAGGTGCATAGCAATTGACTCAAATTTATGACAACTGCAGCGTCCCGGAGTCACGTAGTCACCATTTGCAATCTTCTGACAAGACCTTCTGTGATTAACTGAACAACTGCAGTGATTGACTTAACAACTGCGGCAAGAAAAGACGTAAAATGGGGTGAAACTCACTTAACAAATGTTTCCCTTAGCAGCAGAAGTTTCAGGCTCAATTGTGGTCATAAGGCGAGGACTACCTGTAACTTGGTTTAGATGGTCCCAGACTCTTGTGATCACCTTCTGCGATCTTCTGACAAACACAGCCAATGGGGGAAGCCAGATTCACTTAACAACCGTGTTACTAACTTAACGTCTTTGGTGATTCACTTAACTAGTATGGCAAGAAAGGTTATGAAATGGGGGAGGGGTGGGAAACGCTCTTAACAACTCATAGAGCAACAGGGAAAATCGCCTTTGTTGATTGGCCTCAGCAGCTGCCAAGCCTTTCAAACAGCACCCAATTGCAGTCTGCCCATTGATTAAAACAGGGGGTCTTCAAACTTGGCTCTTTGATAACTTGTGGACTTCAACTCCCAGAATTCCTCAACCAGGCACACGTGCCTGGCTGAGGAATTTTGGGAGTTGAAGTCCACAAGTCATCAAAGGGCCAACTTTGAAGACCCCTGGATTAAACTTGTTGTTGTTAATTGCGAAGTCGTGTCCGACCCATCGCGACCCCATGGACGTTCCTCCAGGTCTTCCTGTCCTCTACCATCTTCTGGAGTCCCTTTAAGTTCACACCTACTGCTTCAGTGACGCCATCCAGCCATCTCATTCTCTGTCATCCCTTTCTTCTATTGCCCTCAATCTTTCCCAGGGATTAAACCTAACTTTTCTCCTGTCTCTTCCACACCACTACTGGCAAGGCAATATTTAGGAATCTGGCGCTCTCTAGCGTTCACCAAAGACTTATTCCCAGCAAGACATGAGTCATTCAAAACATTTGCTGGGAATTCCAAAATTTGATCCAATGGCTCAAGTCAAACCTTTGGCAGGAGAGAGAGAGAGAGAGAGAGAGAGAGAGAGAGAGAGAGAGAGAGAGAGAGAGGAGGACTCTTGCAGCTGAGTGGATTGAGGGAGGATGCGATTTGAAGGGGAGAAAGATCAAATGAATGAATTCTCTGCTCTTCACCTTCTTCCTCCTTGATGAGATGCCTAGAATTTAATTTGGGGAAGGGAACAGAAGGTAAAATGTGGGTTATGCAGGATTTTGGCCTCCTTCCTGGGCCTTCACAGAGCTCAGAAGCTGCTTGCTACTCACTCAGCTTCCCATTTACTGATGCTGAGCAAAAAAGGGACTTCCTCATCAAAATTAACCTGAGCCAACTGCATACATCCCAAATTTGTAACATTTTATTAGAATAGAATAGAGCTGGAAGGGACCTTGGAGGCTGGTGTTTTCGGCTTCGTGCTTCGAGGAACACGAAGCCGAAAGCACCAGCCTGAAGATGATGAATGGGACTTCGTCGAAACGTTGCCAAGACACTTCCAATTTTACGCGGGAGAAAACCCAAATAACCAAAGACCTATAAATTACAAAACTATAAAAGTTTAATTCAATAAAACATCTAGCTTTCGTCGGCAGCTGCCAACATCGTCAGGGTACATTCTAGTCGATGGGAGAGTTCACTTATAGATGAGACGCTGCTTGCGCCCAGCTTCTAGATCTCATCACGGGTCCTAACTTCCATGTCACTAACTGTATTCACTTTACTTTTCTTGTCTGCGTGTGTGTGTGTGTTGCTACCCATTCCCCCCTCGCACGATCATAAACTAGGGGAATTCTCCCCTTTCTTTTTTCGATCGGACGAGAGCTCCGTATCTCTCAACCGCTCTCTCTTCTTACACCTCTCCTTCCTCCCTTCCATGTCCGTCATCCACATTCCAGCTCTCGTCCGATCAAAAAAGGAAAGGGGAGGATTCCCCTAGTTTACGAAAGCTCCTCCTTTCTAATCACTTCTATTTTTGAAAATTTCTTGACACTGGAGATTTCCAAAAATAGACTAAACTAGACAACCATTGGTATAAGATCTTCTGCCTTGGATAGCCGGTTGGCACTAGAAGACCTCTTGAGTTCCTTTCCAGCCCTATAATTCTATGTTCTATTTCTTGTCCTTTGTTTATTTTTATTTTTTCACTTTGGGCTTCTTTTCTTTCTTTCCTTTTCTCTATATTAGATCTTATTAGTTTTTATCTCCTTTAAAAATTAGTTATTAAAGGTCGTTGTGGACTTCCAACAGTTCATTTAGTGACTGTTCGAAATTACAACGGAACTGAAAAAAGTGAATTGTGACACTTTTTCACACAATTGTCCACAGCATCCCCCCCTTAGTCACGTGATCCGAATTCGGACGCTTGGCAACGGACTCGTATTTATGACGGTTGCGGTGTCCCGGGGTCACGTGATCCCCTTTTGCGACCTTTTGACAAGCAAAGTCAATGGGGGGAAGCCAGATTCACTTAACAACCTTGTTACTAACTTAACAACTGCAGTGATTCACTTAACATCTTGATGATAAAGGTCGTAAGATGGGGCAAAATTCACTTAACAAACGTCTGGCTGAGCAACCGAAATTTCGGCTTTAATTGTGATTCTAAATTGAGGACGATCTGTATTCTCTCTTCTATTTCTTTCCCTTTCTTTCTTTTTTTCACTCTTGGCTCCTTTCTCTTCTTTCTTTCCTTTTCCTTACATTAGATCGTGTTCCTTTTTACCTCCTTTAAAAATGTGTGGTTATTCTTTTTTTATTTAATAATTTTTTATTTTTCCAAACTCTCCCCCCTACATATAGTGTGATATTTATCAGATGTTAACATACATTCTTTTTACATTCATATATAAGATACTTTTAATAAAATGAAATAAATACACACACATGACTTTTGGTGTTGCTCGCCCATTTCCCCTTTCACTGTATCCACACTCCTTCTTCTCTACCTTCTTTCTCCCTTTCTTCTCTTCCCTACTTCCCTCTTCTTCCTCTCCTCTTCCCTTCACCACTCTCCTCCCCTTTCTCCCCACTTCTCCTCTTCTCCTCCAACCTTCCTACTTCCTTCTCCCCTCCTTTGCTCTTTTCTCTCTCGTCTCTTTTCTTCCCGGTCATCCCTCTTCAGATACAATTCAGGGGTAATGTCCGAGCAATTCCTCTCTCCAGATTTCCCTATCTGTATTATATACAATAAGATTAATTTTCTGTTACATTAATACTTCTATTTATCTAACCTTCTCGTTATATACTTCTATAAATATTTATACAACCTAAAAATGTGTGGTTATTCTAATTTAACAATTTGTGGTTTAGATGCCTGAAGATGCTGCTTTTGCCCAGCTGAGCTGAGCACTTGGATGCAATCGTCCCTATTCAGTGCAGAGTCTGCCCTCCATCCCCCGCCAGAGACCCCCTAATCATTGCCTTCCCTTTGGATTCTCCCCTTCTTATGCCCTGGTTCTGCTTCAAAATGCCCTTCTGTGTTCTTCTCTTTCAGTGGAAAACTCAGCCCACTGTGAGTTTCCTCTGCTGCGGGATCTCTTAATCCGGTAAGTCGTTGGTTTGGGAATCTCACCGTTTTTGAGTTGGGGGGTGGGTTGAAATGTTTGGAAATCTAATGAACCAATCAGAAAGGAAATAGGAGAGCCACAACTCGTGCATTTTGATGACCATTCTGGCAATGTTCCTTGGCATTCCGGTATTCTCCCTTGGTATGCACTGAGTACGTGCAGCAGGAATTCTGGGCTAAAATTGTGGAGGATTCCTGGAGTATTTTTACTGGATCTGTATTTACTGGAGTGACTGAGTAGCATGAGTAGTATGAGATCAGCTAATAAGAGGCAGCCATGGTGGGTCAGGAAGTCCACAAGTCATAATGGTGCCGTAGTTCCCCATCTCTGGATTAAGGCACCAGGCTAGAAATTGGGAGACAGTGAGTTCGAATTCCAATGTGAAAGCTGGTTGGGTGACCTTGGGCTAATCACCAGGAGACTGGGAGTTCTAGTTTCACCTTAGGTATAAAAGCCAGCTGAGTGGCTTTGAGCCAGTCACCAGGAGGCTCTAAGTTCTACTCCCACCTTAGGCATGAAAACAAGCTGGGTGACTTTGAACCAATCACCAGGAGATGGTGAGTTCTAGTCCTGTCTGAGGCACGAAAGCCAACTGGGTGACTTTGGGCTAGTTCCTCTCTCTCAGCTCAGTCCACCTCATGGTTGTGGGGAAAATAGGAGGAAGGAGGTGTATTAAGTAGGTTCGCCACCTTGAGTTGCTCATAAAAATAATAAAGGCTGGATATGAATAAATAATAAATAAATAAACAGGGGAACCCAGCAGTCCAGCTGCTGCTGTAACAAAGTTTAGCCCAAGCTTGTAACTGGAATTACTCCTCAGTTGCCTTCTTGGTGAGAAGTAGACAATTTTGAGAGTTCTACCAGAAAGAGAACAGTGGCCTAGAGCAGTGGAGCATTTTAAGTTTAAGCACATTTAAAAGATCAATCTTTTACCATCTATGTTTTGCCAAGATGGGCATATATTGCCAGATGTGGGTAGCCAGATGTTATTCTGTGGGTTTCAAATGCTCTACCAGAATTGACTTGTTGGATCTTCACGGTTGGATATATATCCATACACTCTATTAATTTTAAAGCAATCCAAGTCATGATACTCAACAGTTTGCAAAAATGGTCATATAGAGCAGCAGTCCTCAACATTTTTGGCATCAGGGCCCAGTTTGGTGGAAGACAATTTTTCCATGGACTGGGGGGAGGGGAGAAGAGGAGTGTGCAATTTGGATCCCACGCATGCGCAGTTTACAGTTTACAAGCTTGCTTGCTTGCCGCTCACCTCCAGCTGTGTGGCCTGGTTCCTAGCAGGCCACGGACCGGTATTGGTCCGTGGCCCAGGGGTTGGGGATCCCTGATATAGAGGCCATCAGAAAGAAATATGGTTGTTGTATATTCCATTCTGGTAGTTTATGGGATGAGAGAAATAGTTTGGGAGCCAAACAATGGAGAATTGGTAGGAAGTTGTCAGGGAATTGCGTAGCAGGTGTCCCGATGAAGTCAGAGATGCTGAAACAAACTTGTAGTTTTATATCAATAAATATATATTTACATCTACATTTACAGCAAACAAGATAAGTCAGGCACATAACTACATCATGAGGTAAATTGTCATGAGGTAAATCATAGAACAGCGTACAGAGCACACAGAAGAAAAAGGCGGGAAAAAAGGGAAACTCCCCCTTTCCAACCACTTTCGCTGATGTCTGTGGAGATTCTCAACCATCCAGGTCACGGATGCTTTTCCAAAAGGCAACTAGACTTTCTTGGGGTTTTTTTCCCCTTGAAAACGTTTTGCTTCTCATCCAAGAAGCTTTTTCAGTTCTAACTGAATGATGAGGAATGGAAGGGTTTCGTTGATGCCCCTTTTTCTTCTCTGTAGGTCTCACCTCCAGGATCTCAAGGACATCACCCACAGTGTACATTATGAACAATACCGCATCCAGCGCCTCAATGAAAGCAACCGGCTAGTCAAAGGTGGCGAGTGGCTGGCACTGAGCTCCCTCACTTATGAGCCACAGGGACAGCATGGTCTCCCCTGCACCGCCTCAGCCCCACCACCCCTCCAGTAGCTGGTGCAGATGGCTTTCTCATTCCTTCTTCTTTTTTGGGGGGGGGAGGGGGAATTAGCTGGAGCAATGTTCCCAGAAGACATCACATTCCCTCTGCAGCCCCCATGTCCTCTCACCATCTATGCCCCACTGCTGGGCACCTTCCTTTTCATCTGTCTTCCATCCAGTTTCACACTTTGGAGAAGAGCTATGCTGGAAGAGCTGGCAATTTAGCCCACTTTTTCACAGTCTTTGCCATCTGCACCATGTGGCTGTCTTTTTTGTGACCTCTGCTTCTCAGCTAAGCTCTGTGCATCATTCCAGGAAAATCTCCATGCTGCCTTTGGAAGCAGGTTCTTCTTTCCAGAGGTTTGAGTGTGAGCCCACTGTCCCAAGCAGACCTATTTTCTTCCTTAACCCACACCTTAATTCTCTCTTTTATTTCATCCTAAAGCTAGTGGCTCCATGCTACTTCCTCGTCACACTTGTGGGGTGGGGTGGGGGAGAGACTCTGAAGGTTTTGCGTTGGGTCAAAGATGGAGCTCACAAACTCTGTTAGCCCGAGTGGTGACTCTTTCTTCATTGTAGATAGTCCCAGACTGGGAGGTTGGTAGCTATAAGAACTTATGAGAGCAAATATGGTCTTCAGATGAAGAGGCAACCATCCTATGTGACTTGGACTGACTGATAGGACCAAAATTACTCATCTGAAAGTAATTGGACAACAGGAGGAATGAGATATCCCAAGCAATCTTCTGCACAAGAGACCTTTGTCACCGTGTACAAAGCTATGAGTTTCTGACTGTGGAATGCTCCTTCTGGATACTTCTTGTTCTGAGATCCACGGGCCTGGGACGATGCAGGAGAGTTCTTCCAGCCTGGTCCTGTGTTGGTGCAGAAGAAGAGACCTGGAGAAACACTTTCATTTTCCAGAATTTGCTCAATTGCCCAAGTTTGTGGTTCCCTCCATGACATTGACACTCCTGAGCAAAGGGCTCTTGGTCAACTTGTGAGTTTTTCCAGTTATTACATTAAATTCCAATTTAGAAGGTTTGGAGTTTTTCTTTTTTTCTTTTTTTGTCAGAGGCCCCTTAACTTCAATGTAGAACGGAGCTCCAGAGATTGGTTGGACCGGCCTATCCGTCTGCTATTGGCAATCAGGTAAAGCAGACCCACCCTAGGTCTCTGGTGACCAGACTCACTATCAGCTACTGGAGAACAATCAACTATGGTCAAGATGGCAGGAAGTCAGAAGTCACCCCCCCCACACACACACACACATACCCTGCATTTTTGCCTACCTGTTTTTCTGTTTAGGTAAAGAAATACCTCTGAAAGAATCCAACAGGGCACAGGTTATCTAGCATTTTATAATTCTATTGGGATTATGATTCTTGTAATCTAAATTAGCCTGGCCAAAGGATAGCTAATTGTGCAAAGTTACCATAAAGACTTAGAACAAGTCAAGGAAAGTCATGAACCTACCCTAGTAGAGAAAAAGAGAAGGAAGATGTAATCCTCTGAGGGTCAACTACTGTATAGGCATTATGTTCTCCAGCAGGATGGCTGTAGAGTCCAAATGGATGAATGGATGGGTTCTATGACGGCCTTCCTGCCTGGCAGACTGGGTAAAAACTTCGGCCACACCCCTTCCTTTGGGCGTGACCCCAGTTTTGACTCAGTCTCGAAGCCTGGTAGAAGTGCGAGAAGCAGCTCTTAGGAAAGAAGAGTTTTCACAAAGAAAAGAATATCCTCTTCCAGTTTTTTTTTTTTTTTCCCTTTTTGCAGCAGGCAGGGATCCCGGGCAGAGGAATAGAACACCGACGCCTCCCAGCCAGGATCGTCGGAGTGGTGAGAGGATCGCCAGGGCGGTTAGCCAGGGGGGCTCGGGCCGGTCAGTGGATCTTCCGCGGATCCCGCCAAACAGCTGTTTGGCGCGGGGACATTTCCCGGACCACCCGCCGGGCAGCTGAGTGGCACGGAGGCCACTCGGTCCGGCGGAGGAGCTGAGGCGCCGTTCAGCGCCAAACAGCTGAGCGGCGCGGGAAAACAGAGCGCTGATCAGCTGAGCGGCGCGAGAAGCGCAGCGCGCCCAAACCGACCGGCAGAGCCTCAGCGCCGTTTTTTCTCCCCCAGCGGAGAGGCACAGCCCCCTTAAGGACAAAAGAGCCATTCAAGCCGGTTAATTACCCTATTGCTGGCTATTAAAGACCCGCCATTGTTGGAGCCTCGTGGCTCATCCGGCTACTATTGGGAGGCGGGGCTTCCTCCCATTCGCCATTTTAAACAAGCAGTTTAGCCGCCGCTTTTTTCCTTTACATTAAGACACTTGGGCAAGAGGAAGGAAGAGGAATAAAAGATTAGAACCTCTATCAGTTCTGAGCGTGGTCTGCTACCACAGCCACAGACCGGGGGAGAGAGAGATATAAACTGTACTTTTGTCTGGACTAGGTGAGGAGGTGAGGAGGAATATTTTTTCTTTTCCTAACTGTTCCTATAGTGACCTTTAGTCACTGCCTTGCAGGATCTTCTGTCCAAAGATTCCTGTCTGTCCGGCCATTGTTTGTATAGGCAGAAGAGGGCACAGCCCCAAGCATCTGCATCTGATCTGCGTATCTCATTCCCCCTTTCCAGGCATTGCCTACTCGGGGTGTCTGGCACAATGGCAGACAATGTCTCGTATTCAGTCACACAGGTCCCTCAATTGTCCCCCCCACAGCAACAACAAAAACGCAGATCTTCTGAATCAGAGGTGGGGGGGAAGAAGAAAGCTAAAACAAAGCACCTTTCTCAGAAGGGACAGTCCAAAACGGCTGAGCGAGAGGCTTTGAGGAGACATTTGGCTTTAGAAAGGCAAATTAGCAGAGCACAGAGAACCAATGTCAATGGGACAAATTTGGTTTCCCCTGTCCCAGGGGTGGCACCCAGCACAGAACCTACTGCCGAGGAAGTGCTCAAGACTTGGTCTCCTCCTGGGGAAACTGAACAGTTAGATTCCTCCAATCCCTCCTCACCAGCTTCTTCACCCGACCACACTCCAGCGCCTCACCCCAACGACAAGGCGCAGGAGAACATATGGTCGGCACAATTTCATGCATTCATGCAGGATGCATTCTCCCAGTTCATGGCTTCTAAGGGGCAAGTGGCCTTTCACACACCCCGTAAGGGACGGGCTAGGCCGCCCCCTACCAGCATCTCTGAAACTTCCTCTCAATTGGGAGAGGGTGACTCAGTAGACCTGGACATGTCAGACATGCCCCTCTCGGAGGACGAGGAGACCGCACCTGAGCAGGCGACAAGCTCTGGCCTCTTTAACCCAGCGCTCCTAAAATCACTCCTGATAAAGGCAGTTTCCACAGTCAACCTAACATCAGTACAGGATGAGAAGCCCTCAACAAGCAAGGAGGCCAATCCTCTATTTGCCAAAAAGGTTCCACAGGATAAGTACATCCCATGTGCGGAGGTCTTTATGACCACGCTGGAGGAACAATGGTCCTCACTTGCGAGCCCACCGGCACCTAACAGCGCGGAAAGAAAGCTTTTCAACCTATCTCCCTCCTTCTCTAACATGTTAGAGGTTCCCACTGTAGATAACCCCTTGATCTCATTATTTTCTACCTCCGCGATTCCAGGAGACATGGCGGAGGTCTTGAGACCTGAGGAGAAGAAATTTGAACACTCCCTCCGGCGTTCCCATATGGCCGCAGCCTGGGCGGCCAGAGCAGCCACTTCATCATCATTCTTCGCGAGGGCCAGTATCATGTGGCTGAGGGAACTGCAAGGCACGGTGCCTCCAGACCAGGTCAGAGTACACCAAACATTGGCCAAGCTCCTCGCGGCCTCTCAATTCGTGTCTGACGCTTCACTGTACGCAACAAAGTATGCGGCAAGGTCCATTGCGGCCACAGTGGCCTCGCGAAGGCTACTGTGGCTCAAAAATTGGAAGACAGACCTGAGGTCCAAATGGCGTCTTTCGACGTCCAAATACAGTGGAGAAGCCCTGTTTGGTTCCATTCTGGACCCACACGTCAGCGAAGGCAGAGACAAGAAAAAAATCCTAGTGCATCCATCAAAGAAGTTAGACAGGAGAGGCAGTCAGGACTTCCGGAGACAGGGCTCCCGCCCAGGAAGCCCCTGGGAATGGAGACAGCCCTTTCGATCAGGGCAATCCTGGGACTGGCCCAGAGGCTCACGATCCTTCTATCCGAGACAGGATCGAACCCAGGATCGCCAAAGCCCGGGAGCCAGAGGCCAGTTCCAGTCCAGACGCCCATATAGGGGAGCGGGAGGCAGATCCTTTAAGCGTACCAAGTGACGCCAAACAGGACACTCCCATCGGGGGTCGGTTAGGAAACTTCATCGAGGTCTGGGAGCAGACCACCACCGACGCCTGGGTCTTGGAAACGATCAGGCATGGCCTGACCTTAGACTTTTGTTCTCCCCCACCAAGCCGGTTCATCAGATGCCCCATCTCCAGAAAGGTACACAAGACGAGGCTGATAACTTCGGCCATAGCTCACCTCCTGTCAATTCAAGCCATAGAGAGGGTACCAAAGGAAGAGGAGGGAAGAGGATTTTATTCCATCCTCTTCGTTATTCCAAAGACATCAGGAGGGTGGAGAGCAATATTGGACCTGAAGGGCCTGAATCATTTCATAAAGTACAGGAAGTTCAAGATGCACTCATTGAAGTCCATCCTAGCCAGCGTCAGGGAAGACGATCTATTATCCTCAATAGATCTCACAGAGGCGTACCTACACATTCCCATCCATCCCAGCTACCGGAAATTCCTCAGATTTACCTACGCGGGCCGGCATTACCAATACAGGGCCTTACCCTTCGGACTATCTTCAGCACCAAGGGTATTTACCAAAATCCTAGCTGTAATAGCAGCCCATCTCAGGCTGATGCCGGTTCGCGTACAGTTTTATCTGGACGACATCTTGATTCAGTCCAGATCTCAGGAACAAGCAAGGGCAGATCTCAAGACCACGATCCGAACCCTACAGGGGCACGGATTCTCGGTCAATCTAAACAAGAGCCACCTCATTCCCTCAAGGAGACTGCAACACCTGGGCGCGGTGATAGACACGTCACAGTGCAGGGTATTCCTTTCCCAGGAGCGACTGATCAGCATATCCAAGCTAATCCACCAAATTCAAAAGATCAGGAGAGTGCCCTTGCTACAACTCTCGAAGCTCCTGGGGAAGATGATATCTTGCATGGGCATCATCCCATGGGCAAGGCTCCACTCGAGGGAGTTGCAGTGGTTCCTCCTACCCTACCAGAGGAGGAACCTCAGCACCTCCAGCAGGAGAGTGCCGGTACCAGCACAGGTGATGAAATCACTAAAATGGTGGCTATCCCCCATGACACTCAAGGGGAGCATATTCAGGGAACCGAACAGGGTCACGCTCACGACAGATGCGAGCCTGTTCGGATGGGGAGCCCATCTGGGGACCCAGATAGCACAGGGCCAGTGGGGTCAGAAGGACCTGTCACACAGCATCAACTGGCTAGAGCTCCGGGCCATACACCTGGCCCTCCGTCATTTCTCACACCTAGTAACGAGGAGGCACGTCCTCGTGCTTACAGACAATGTAGCAGCCAAGGCGCATGTAAACAAGGAGGGAGGAACGAAATCAGTGGAACTAATGAAGGAAGCATTGGCTCTGGCTCGGTGGGCAGAAGCCAATGTGAGTTCCATCAGAGCGGAACACATCTCAGGGGAGACAAACACCCAGGCAGACTCCCTGAGCAGAGCCAAGGTGGACCAGTCGGAATGGCGTCTGGACCCGGCTCTCTTCGAGGAGATCTCCCGGAGGTTCGGACAACCGCACCTAGATCTATTTGCCAACCACAAGAACACACAGCTCCCCAGGTTCTTCTCCAGATTCCCGTCCCCGGGATCGGAGGGAACGGATGCTCTCAGGTGCCGGTGGCCGGCGCAACTCCTGTACGCCTTCCCACCACTGCCATTAATACCGGCAACCATACGCAAGATGATCCTGGAGGGCGCAGAAATGGTCTGCATTGCCCCTCACTGGCCACGGCGCCCGTGGTTTGCCGACCTCGTGGACCTTTCGATATCACCTCCGTGGAGGATCCCCCCGGACAAGGTAAAACTCAGTCAGGGCAAGCTTGTACACCCAGATCCCCAGTGGCTACAACTAGCCGCTTGGCATTTGAGCGGCAAAGCTTAACTAAACAATCTTATTCTGCAGGGGTGATATCGATCATACAGGCATCACGAAGAGCGTCCACTAATAGGATTTATGACGCTACGTGGAAGGGATTTTGTAGGTGGTGCGCTTCGCTTCACCTAGACCCGACCGCAGTATCTATTCCCAATATCCTAGATTACCTACTGGAGGGTCTTAATAAGGGCCTGTCAGTCAATACTATCCGCAGACAGATATCGGCCCTCTCAACTGTACTCTCCTGCGACAACTTAACTTCCCTAGCACAGCATCCAGCTATTAATGCCTTTTTAAAAGGGGCATCTAACACAAAGCCCCCAGTCATACACAGGTACCCGTCCTGGAACCTGTCTAAGGTCCTTCTAGCCTTGACATCAGCACCCTTCGAACCTCTTGAAACATGCTCACTCCATCACCTATCACTGAAGGTAGCTTTCCTTGTGGCAATTACTTCAGCAAGAAGAATCTCAGAACTAGCAGCACTGTCAGTAAGGAAGGATCTGTGTACCTTTTTCAAAGACAGGGTCGTTCTTAGACCAGACCCGACCTTCATTCCGAAGGTAAATAGCATCTTTCACAGATCTCAGGAACTTTCGCTTCCTGATTTCTGTCCAAGACCCAAACATAGACTAGAACACAGATGGCACAAGCTGGACGTGCGGAGAGCGCTGTGTTTCTACGTGAAACGCACCTCGGCTTTCCGAAAGACTGAAGCATTATTTGTGTCCTTTCAACCAGCAACTATGGGAAAGAAGGTATCTCCTTCCACCATAGGCAGGTGGATCAGAGCCTGCATAGCGCAGGCCTACGTCTCACAGGATTTGCCAGCACCCACTCAGGTGACTGCTCACTCAACTCGGAGCGCAGCTACATCTGCGGCGTGGCTAACGCAAGCTCCGGTGGAAGAGATTTGCAGGGCCGCAACCTGGTCCTCACCTTCGGTTTTTATTCGACATTACCGTTTAGACTCCCTAGCAGCAGCAGACGCGGCTTTTGGCAGAAGAGTTCTTCAACAAGTCGTATCTGCTCAGAGTTCGGTAGCCTAGACATTCCCTCCCAGGGGGACATGAGGGCTTTGGTATGTCCCATCCATTTGGACTCTACAGCCATCCTGCTGGAGAAGGGGCGTTGTCTTACCTGAACGCCTTTTCTCAGCAGGATGATGTAGAGTCCAAGCCCACCCAGAGGATAGGTCTAGGCAGGGTTATAATAAAGATATAATAAAGAGCTGCAAGGTTAATTCCAACAAAGTTTCTCGCCTAAGTCAAAACTGGGGTCACGCCCAAAGGAAGGGGTGTGGCCGAAGTTTTTACCCAGTCTGCCAGGCAGGAAGGCCGTCATAGAACCCATCCATTCATCCATTTGGACTCTACATCATCCTGCTGAGAAAAGGCGTTCAGGTAAGACAACGCCCCTTCTCATTTAGGACATAGGGAAACTCAAGGTCTATGTAGGCAGATGTTTTGGGAGACGGACTGTTGTCTTAGGCAAAGGCAAAGAACTGGCCTAAGTGACACCATGGTAGAATTAGTTACAGTTCCTTTGCTTTTTGTTGCTTTTCTGCCATGTATTTAGGACAAGGTTCATAAGTCGAGCTATTTTCAAGAGATGTGGAAGCTCCTGTTCCATTGCTAGGGTTGGAAGAAATTAGAAGTGAGCGTGATGGTAGGGAAAAGGAGACCAACATATCCTTTGCCAAATATTACGGGCTGTTCTTGAGAAACCCCTGCAAACCAGAAGTGCAGAGGCCACGTCACATTCTTTGGTGTATTTCAAGATCCTTCGAATTGCCTTTCCAAAAGATTCTAAAGCATGTAAATCACTTTTGACCCCGTGATCAGAACTCAGGAAACTGGGAGTAGGTGGGTGTACTTTGGACTGAGTAGAAGACAACGTGACTTTTCTACCTTCACAAGAACCAGAAAGCAATTTTTGAAAAGGAAGAGGAAGCACAATCTACACTAGAAATGGATCCAACTTTTGGGAAGGACCCCAACCCCTTTTTCACTTTCATCTCTACCTCCTGGAATCACACAGGTAGAACCTTCATTCCTTCCTAGCTTCAGATGAAGGTCTGAAAGATTTGGTTCCCTGCGCCAACAGCAGGTGCAGTAGGTGGTTATTACCTTATCAACTTCAGTCTCGTTAATCATCTACCTGCCTCTCATTTCCCGGACAAGCCTTTTCCTGCTTTGAAGCAGAAACCGTTTGCAGTGAAAGGCTACAATCCAAAGAACACAGTTTGACACCCAGGGCGGGCTTCTTCGGCTCTTCCCTTAGGCGAACACTCCTCAAGGTGACCTCATCAACTTTGCATTCTTCCATGAGAACACTCAACGTGGAAAGCTTAACAGGGAAAGATTGTTAGCAGAACAGCAACAGCAACTCTTCTGCTGCTGCTGTTTCCTTTCCCTGACCTGTCCCAGATTTAGCAAACATTGAGAGCAGCTAGGAAACTCCCTAAAGCAATGGCAGAGCTCCACCCTCCATTGAGACTTTCAACCATCCCTCCAACTGGGCGTTCCTGGGCTTTGGGCCAGTGCCTAGACTAATATAGTACCGCACCCTCATAGGCTTTCTGATCAGCTTCTCAACACGCCTTGCTGGGTCTTTAGTCTTTCCTGTGGCCTCTTCGCCCTGCTGGCATCGGGGCCACCATGTCAGTCACCCTTCAGTTCAATGGGCGCTCCCTGATTTCTCCGCTCGGGATCATTCGGTTGTTGGAGATATTTTTCTCCTGCACTGCTTTCAGCTTAGCAGCTGTCTATCACAACTACGATGGAAACTATGGGGCTTGGTCGATGTTTACTTGGTGCTTCTGCTTCATCATTTCTGTCTTTGTGGTGATTATGGAGCTGATCAGCCTGGACAAGGCCCTGCCTCTTTCCTGGCAGGACTTCACCTCTGCCTTCTCCATGCTGGCCACTCTGATGATCTTCACGACTTCCATTGTCTACCCAGCAACCTTCATACCTCTCTGCAAGAATTACAACTGTGATTACCAGATTGGGGCTACTGTCATGTCTTGCCTCTGCTTCATTGCCTACGCAGTAGAAGTAGGACTCACCCGGGCCAAAGCAGGGGAACTCAGCAACTTCCTGACTACCATCCCTGGCCTCCTGAAGGTATTTGAGGCCTACATAGCTTGTCTTATCTTCTCCTTGCTGGACAGACTTTCCTATTTCAAGAGTTATCCTGGTCTGGAATGGTGTGTGGCCGTCTACAGCATCTGCTTCATTCTCACCATGGTGATCATCATTCTCACCATTGGACGCTGCCTTGGTTCCCTGCCCATCCCCGTGGAGAAGACTCTCGTGGCCTACAACATCTTGGCTGTTCTCATGTATCTTACGGTGGTGGTCGTATGGCCTTTATACAGCTTTCGGAACATTCCAAGACCTTCGTGTACTCCTTATCCTGCGCGCTGCGCCATGTGGGACAATCACCTGGGAATTACTTTTCTCTCCTTCTTCAACCTCATTGCCTACATCGTGGACTTCACCTATTCTTACAAAATGGTTTTTGTGACCACACCGGCATAGATTGCTCATGTCCTCATCTCGCCCATACACGTGGAACCATGTTGGCTTATGCTGCTGAACATGCTGAAATCCAAGAAGCATGGATCCAGGAGTAGTGGAGGTTATGAATATCTGAGGTGATGGTGGTGATGGTACTTCTAATCTTATAATTACATGATTTAAATTTTGGACTGTTTTATTTTATACTTGCAGTTATGTTGGATGGATAGATCCCATTTCAAAAAGCGTTGAACCTACCTTCATTCATTACAAGGCTTCTATGAGTTACACCCTGGTTAGATGTAAGCCCTTCAGGTGTGACTAAAAGTTTGATCCAGGGCCTAAAAATTCTCCCCAAATTTTGGAGAAACCAGAGTGCTTTAGGCTTTCCAACTTCTGTTTTAAAAGCAGTAGCTGTGAGAAGTGAGAAGATGATGAGCAAAGAAGGAACATCAGGACTGGAGAAGAAGCTGAGTCCTCCACAGAAAGAAGACAACTTTAATCATCGCACTGAGCTGAGGACACAATTTTTGTCCTCAGATATGTCCTACAGGAATGTTTTCTTTGCCTTTGGACAGAATCTCTTATTCAAGTTATATAAAACAAGAGATATCACTGCAGAATATGGAGTGGGAGGGTTATATTGCCATACCGAGCAGTCAGCTAAAACATGGCTTGTTGGATTATGGATTGCTGAATAAATCACAGTTGGCAATAAAAAGGAAACAGCTGAGTTAACTTTTGGTAGTTTCCCATCTAAATATTAGCCCCATCTGGCACTGTATGAACACGTGCCTATGGACTATCCCTGATAGGCAGACACAAAGGTGAAGGTAAGATCTCCTCTGAGCCGAGTTCAAGTGCTGGCGATTTTATGAACATGGTCGTGTTTTACGGGCAACAATATAAAGGTGGATTGCCCTTGTCTTCTTACAGGATAGGTTTAGGCTTTCTTTCTAGTTTCTATATCTTCTCCAAAGTCATCTGTCTACTCCTCCACATTACCTAGATAGAGGAGTAGGAAGATACTATCTGTGGGGTATCTTCCTACTCGTCTATCTAGGTAATGTGGAGGAGTAGACAGATGACTTTGGAGAAGATATGCGGAGATTGTTGGAACAATATGATCTTAAACTATTAGCGAAATATCAGCTCAGTTTGAATAAACAAAGTATGAGAAGTATTCTTCAATGAAGGAGAATATTTGAAACTCAGAGTTGAAATGAGGGATCCTTAGTGCTCTCTGAGCTTGCTTGTTTTCTTGCAGACATTTCATGACCCAACTAGGTAACATCATCAGTGCTAGTGTGTGCACTAGTCTTTTGAAAGTCAGTGTTTTCCCTTCCCTCCCTCTTAGAACAGTGGTGGCGAAGCTATCGCACGGGTGCCAGAGGCGGCACTCAGAGCCCTCTCTGTGGGCACATGCACTGTCGCCCCAGTCCTAGACCTTCAGCTGGTTTTATAAAACCTTTTCGCTTTAGGCCTCCGCCGCCGTGTACAAAAAAAAAAGGTTCAATCAATCAGTCTATTTCAACTTCTCATGGGAAAAAAAAAAGATCTTGCAAAGTTGGAATTGATTGATTGAACTTTTTAGTCCCACCCAGTCTGCTATTACTACCACAGCCATGCCCAGCCAATGGGCCACGCCCACCCGGCACCCAATGATGCATAAGTAGGTTTTGGGTTGCAGTTTGGGCACTCGGTCTCTAAAAGGTTCGCCATCACTGTCTTAGAGCCAAGTAAGTAAAAGTAGGACAGTCTTAAGTCTCTTTCTCAATGTCCCCAGACTGAGCTCATGTTTTACTAAAAGTCTCTGCAAAATGTCTCCATAATCTCTGTACTCCTTTACACTGCCAGCCAAGCTTCCTTGACATCAGCCAAGACTGCTTAAATCCACCCATCTGGTGAGTCCAATTCACACTGTAAACTAAGCCAAAATCCTTGATTTATAAACTAGGGGCGTTGAGTTCATAAAACACTGTAAACTAAACTGCAACCTAAACTTAAGGTCGTATGCATTCAGAAGACCAATCTGCCATTCATCAGTGTTTATATCTATACTTCCCTTATATTAAGATTGTAATAAGGATAAAACACTAATAGGGAAAAATACCAACCTGGCCTTGGATGATCTGAAGCCTCAGCTTGTTAGTAACTTGGTGATAGACCACTGGAAAGTCCCACGGCACTAGACAAGGCTGGGAAGTCAAAAACACATCCCAGAAAAAGACAAGGCCAAGCCACGTCTGTTGTGCTGTCAAGAAAACAACTCGTGCATGAAGTTGTCAAGAATGCTACAAGGATGTAGCTTCAGTCAAAGGAGACTTACTTTGTATGAGTTGTACTGAGTTTGTAACTAATTTAGGGTCTCGGATAAATAGCAAATGTTTGTGATCTCCAGTTTCCAAGGATTGTCAAAGCTGAGATGGGTGATCCATGCCGTACTGCCCATTGGAAATGGTATATTCATGATGTCAAGTGATTGTCATGCTGAAAGGGAGGATTAAACCTGTTCAAGTTTCACTTGAGAAATGACAAGCTGGGCATGTGGTTGATCAGCAGCCAAGGAATGTCCCTTATTACAAATATACTGGTGAATCTGGGTCTAGTTGCGACATCCCTGCCATCTGGCCAAGATGATAAAAGAGGTTGTGATCGGTTGCAGCTCCCGTGCCAGCGCAGAACTGTTGCAATCAAAGCTCTTGGCTCGAGAGTTATATAAACAGCGTGACCTAGAGGTAGTCCTCGGTTTAGGACCACAACTGAGCCCCAAAATTTCTGTCGCTAAGCGAAACATTAGTTAAGTGAATTTTGTCCCACTTTACAACCTTTCTTGCCACAGTTGTTAAGTGAATCATTGTAGTTGATCAGTTAATTACCTCATTGTTAAGTGAATCTGGCTTCCCCCAATGGCTTTGCTTGTCAGAATTTCGCAAAAGGCAATCCACATGACCCCAGGACCTGCAACCATCATAAGTACAAGTCAGTTGCCAAGCATCCCGATTTTGATCACGTGACCATGGGGATGCTGCAATGATTGTTAAGTGTGAAAAACAGTCCTGAGTCATTTTTTTTCAGTGTCGTTGTAACTTCGAACAGTCACTAAACAAACTGTTGAAAGCCGAGGACTGCCTATATTGACATTAAGGTAGTCCTCATTTGAAAAGGGCAGCGAGGACTGGCAGCGCCGTCACTAAGGAAGGCAGCTCTGTGAAATGTGATTGCACCACGTGGATCTGTGCCAGTTTCCTTTCCAAGCAATTGGCAGGGCTTCCTCTCTTGCAGCATTAAGTTTGGCAAAATTTCGCTTGGATTCATCTGCCCAATTCTTGCCATTATCATTGTATACCTCATTATGGAACGGGGTCTGCTGCCTTAGCAGCGGGTTGGACCTGCTTTAACCAACTAGTGTTCACAGTAAATGGAAGATCATATATACCTGTGGTGGCGAACCTATGACACACGTGCCACAGGTGGCACACAGAGCCCTCTCTGTGGGCATGTGCACCATCGCCCCAGTCCTAGGCCTTCAGCTGGGTTTTATAAAACCTTTCGCTTTAGGTCTCCGCCATCTTTTAAAAAAAAAGTTCAATCAATCAATTTCAACTTCTCGCAGGGGGAAAAAAAAGATCTCGCAAAGTTGGAATTGATTGATTGAACTTTTTAGTCCCACCCAGTCTGCCGTTACTACCGAAGCCACACCCATCCAATGGGCCATGCCCACCAAATGGGCCACGCCCACCCGGCACCCAACGATACATAAATGGGTTTTGGGTTGCAGTTTGGGCACTCGGTCTCTAAAAGATTCGCCCTCACTGATATATACTGTACATGATTAATGAATATCAGTGAAGATTCTCAGTCATCCAAATAACAATAGCAATAGCACTTAGATTTATATACCACTTCACAGTGCTTTACAGACCTCTCTAAGCCGTTTGCAGAGTCAACCTATTGCCCCCCAACAATCTGGGTCCTCATTTTACTGACCTCAGAAGGATGGAGGGCTGAGTCAACCTCAAGCCGGTCAGGATCGAACTGCTGGCAGTTGGCAGAATCAGTCTGCAATACTGCCTTCTAACCACTGCGCCACCATGGCTCTTACGATGGTTTTTCACTCAGCATCCCTGTGATCGTGTAAACAAAATTTGGATGCTTGGCAAGTGGCATGTACTTACGACACTCTGCAGTGTCCTAGAGTCTGGAAGTAGAGATGTCTGGAAGTTGTGTCCTTTTCTTGTTGGTTCAAAACATTTTGCTGCTTATCCAAGTAGCTTCTTCAGTCTGAGCAAGTCTGTTAAGGGGCACCCCATCTATCTCCCGCAGGGTGGTTTCGTTTCTCACCTAATCTGAATCGGGTCCTTAGATGAGTAGGCAGAGAGCCGTTGCTCCTAAATCAGCGATGGCGAACGTTTTAGAGACTGAGTGCCCAAAAACCACTCCGCTGTGCCACACCCTCGACCCCCTGCCCGCAGAGCCACCCACTGCCTCCATGGCCTACCACAGTAGATCGTCCAGGCAGCCCAGCAGCGCCATGCAGCCACGCTCTCCGCCTGTACCCCGCAGCATCAACTGCACACAACGGAGCGCGAGGGTGGAGTCTTGTCCCCGCTCCCCGATTGCCATGTCCTTGGCTGTGCTGCTCTGCATGGGCCACGCCCAGGGGTGACTCTCCTGCGGAGGGCTGCTAGTGAGGAGGGGGCCGTGAGAAGAGGTGGGTCTGGGGCAATGGCTCTGAGTGCCCCCTCTGGCACGCATGCCATAGGTTCGCCACCACTGTCCTAAATCCTTCTCTTAGGTGGATTATTAAATATGGTCTCCCTGGTGAACCCTGTGGTCTCAATCTTCCTGGGCACCAATGCCAGAGCAGCAATAAAAAATGGGGGACAGGTTGTGTCTGAGGCCTCCATCTCTATTGAGGGAAGAATTTTCCAGTTCGGCATAAATGGATTCCCTCACTCCGCTCTCAAACCATCTATTTTCCCTGAGTGGAAGGTCCGTGTTTTTTAAAAAGTTTGCCCCAAAGGGCGGCCAGAACCAACAAACAATTTACGGCACACTTGATTGCCTCCCAGGTTTAGTGCAAGTGGAAAAGAGACACTTGTCTCCCCTGGATGGTCGGTGTGCTCGCCACATTCTTGTAATAGGATGCAAAAAATATCACCATGGTTACCGGTTGTTTAAGACCGGTTTTTCCTTTTGGTGAACTCAGTGTTCCAGAACGACACAAGGACTGAGTCCAGTTCTCTGGCATACACTTTTCTACACTTACCTTTCAGGTTTGTTTTATTATAAAACTTAAACTGAAGCTGGGAGTGCCAGTGTTTGTTCACTCTGCCAAGCCGTCGCTCAAAAATGTATAACAGCAAATGAGTTTGGAAGAGGTTGGTCTTGCAAACAACAGATTCCTTTTTTGCCCAAGAAAGGTGTGGCATCGGGTGCGTGCATGTATGTCTGTGTGTGTACTTGTGTATATGCATGTGTATGTAAAAGAGAGAAAAATGCCTCTTTGGCTTCAGCTCAGGGACTTTGCAATACAGGTAGTCCTCAAATTACAGCAGTTCATTTAGTGTCTGTTCAAAGTTACACCGGCACTGAAAAGTATGACTGTTTTTCACAGTTATGACCTTTGCAGCTTCCCCATGATCATGTGATCAAAATTCAGAGACTTGGCAACCGGTTCATATTTATGACCCGTTGCTGTGTCCCAAGGTCACGTGTGATCCCCTTTTATGACC